CGCCTCGCCCCTGAGGGCCGGGGGCGCTGCCGGAGCTGGAAGATGGGCTGCTCTAGCAGCAGGCTGTGTCTCTATTCTCAGTGTGCCGCAGCAAGGGTAATTCGTGTTTGTTCCGCGGGGCCTTTCCGGCAGCGGGGAGCTGGACGGGAGCTTGGCGGGAGTGAGGAGAAAGCGCCCTGGCAGCGGGCAGCCCGGACCGGGGTTGTACCCACGCTTCTCCCTCGGTGCGGGTCGGGAGGCACGGGGCCTGCCCAGCCGCCCGCACCCCGCTGAGGCGAAGCGGGGAGATGGGTGCCTCTGCTGCTTCTGAGCACGGGTTTGTTACCATTGTCTCACTGTAGGAATCATCTATCTTAAAATCAGAGAGCTGCGAGTGGTGGAGTGGGTTGCAACTTGGAACAGGGCTGTAGACTGAGCGTTCAGCCAAGTTTTTGGGTTTGTGTTTGAGTAAGCTTAAAATAAATATTTAATGCATGCTTCTTTCACGTATGTGCTGGGCTTTTGTGCCCTTGACAGCTATCATTTAATTTGTTCTGGAGGTTTATGTTGCTACACCCATCATAAAAATATATAATTAATTGCTGCAAAGTAGGATTTTAATTGCGGTGTTATCCTGGAAAAAGCTGCTCTTTGTTTTAAAAGTATAACTTCCTTAACAACAGAAGAACATCTGTGTATTTTGTAACAGCAGAACTGTTATCCTAAATGATTCATCTCTTGGCTTCTTGCTCCTGCCTTTTGTTTTCTTACAGAACACATTAAGTTAGTTATTGGAAGGTGCCCTGCTCAGATCACTAGTAACCAAGTGTTTTGGTTTGTGTTTTTTTTTCCTCTACAGAGGGAGGAAGTGCTGGAACATCGTAAAGAGTTATCTCAAGAACTAATTAACCTTCGAAGAGAACTAGGTAAGAATTTATTTTTGTAATCATTATTGAGAACAGAAATGCAGCAAAACTGATCTGCAGAAAGACATATGCCCTGGTATTATAATCGCAGTCATTTAATTCACTGGCTGAGTTCTGCTCAGATGCTTTAATCGCTGCATTTCTCTGGAGCCCTGAAAGTGTGACCTCAGGTTCACTGAATTCCTGGCACTGATCTGACAGCGCCTAGTGGGGCCTCCACCCTCAACATGTCTGATGACCAAACCACTCACTTTCTTAAAAATAGGAGGTTGGCTGATAGTATATGTGCATGTTTGATCTCTAACTTACTTGTCTTCTAGAGATTTGCTAGCAAAAATCCATAAACCTATATATAGCCCTAAAACACACTGTGCAAAATCTGCATTTTGCCTTAGTGGCTAGTAGATGGATGAGTGTAAAATTAACAGAAGGAAATGCTGTCAGGCTAATGAGATTAAATCTTTGAACTCATCCTAGTGGGCAGCTGTAATATGAAATGGAGCTGTACTGTGCAGGGGCTGGTATTGCCAGCTTTGAAGATTGATTTATCTGCATTCAGTGGTAACTTCATACAACGTATTTGCACTCCACAAGATGATTCTGCTTTGAGTTCAAAAAATCATTGACTTGAAAGTTGTAGCACTTGAAAGTGAAAGCATACTTCTGTTATGATGAAGCCCCTTTAAAAAAGAATAAAGCTTTAAAAGCAGAAGTAACACATGTGGAGCAGTTTCAGATACGTCACTTATTGAGAAGTTGGAAATGTTTATTTTCACATGCTTTGGAAGTTGAGTGTTGTCAGCCAAACTTAAGTGTGAATGTTAAGTCTTGGTATGTGCAGGTGATGCAGTTAATGTTCAGGGTTTTTTTTAGTGCTGATTAATAAGGCGGGCATTCCCTGGCAACTGCTCAGCACTGGAATTGTGGTGGGGAGGGAGCGTCTCCCCAGTTGAAGCAACAGAGCGCAGCTTCTGCACTTGTCACTGGCATCCAGTTTAGAGGATTATGCTAAAATTCAGTTTTCTGGGAGCTTCGTTTGATGCATAAAATTGCAGATGTGTGAATGGTGAGTATCACAAGCAGCCTTACAGCCTAAATAGATAGTACCAAAGACTTTGTAGGACTAGGACTTAGTACAAAAGACTGTGTAGCGCTTTCTTCCTTGGAATCTTAGCACTAAAAAGCTGAGGCTTTTCTAGAGCTTGGTGCAATGTGGCATCTGCCAGGCTGCAGCTTTTAACCTTCCTACAGAGGAAGAACCTGGAGTTTTGCAGGTGTTTCAGGCAGGTCTCAGTAGGGGCTGGCTTTGAAGGAGCCTTCAGCCCTCTGCTTTTGTGTTCCTCTGTCCCACCGTGTGCCAGCAGTGCTGCCCAGTCAGCCATGCGCCAAGCTGTGCGTGCGGTGAGCTGCCTGGGAACACAACCCAGCTGAAAACCAGCAGCTTGAAGAGCTGTCCTGCCAAAGCTGCCTGGCCTGGCTCAGCATGTGGCTGAAGGGGTAGCAGGGCTGTGTCCCCGACCAGCTGCAGCCAGGGCTTCTGTCACCCTAAAATGACGACAACAAACCTGGAGCCCTCCTGTGGAAGTGAGCTTCTTGCGTTCCCACAAAGTTGTGTTATAAATGAGATTTTTTTTTCTAATATACCCCAACTTTCTGGGCAGACTCATGTGTTTGTTACCATGGAAGTGACTTCAGAAGGACTGCTATCAAAGCAAGAAAGTCTCTATTCTTCCATGGGCCTGCATTTTCCTGTTTTTTTCCCTGTATTATTTTTCCTTTATCAACCTAGGTACCATGTTTGTCACTTATCAGGAAAGGGAAAATTCAGCTTAAATGGGCAGACCAAAAGCTAAACCAGCAGTTCTGCCCATCATGGCTTTTTGTGGTGGTTTGCTTTTGTTTTGTTTTTGTTTTGTTTCGTGGTATGTTTTTTCTTTCTATCTTTCTTTCTTTTAAAAGTTTATTTCTTTCTAAGGGTGCACCACCCTTAAATGAGCTTCCCATAAACTTGATACCTTCCTGGTTTGATTAAAAGCCTGCTGAGCTTGTATGTGGAACTACTATTGCAAGAATATGCCATTCAGTGGGTTGATAACTAGGAAAAAAGCTTCAATTGCAGCTGAGCTTGACGCATCTGTGAGGAGGGAGTGCACAGTGCTGTCAGGCAGGGGTTCTGCTCGACGTGCTGCTGGACATGGTCAGCAGCCGGTCCCCTCGCTGGGCTGATGCTACTGGGTCAGCTCTGCAGCAGCAGCTGAGTGGCAGCCTGTGGCTCGTTCCCTTTGTAAGATTTCCAGACCGTGATTTCACTGAAGCATTTATCTTCACGCAGCTCCTTTGTCTCAACCACGTCACACATCTGGTCTGCCTGTACTTCTCTCCACAGCACATTAAGGGAGTGAATTTAATCACAGAAATGAAAACTACACAGGTCTTTGATTATATCTAGATTCAAAAATGAGTTCTTTCAAGAATTAAGATTAAGAAAAATAAAAAAGCCAGCCAGGCCTCACTTGTTGACAAGGTGTAAGAAAAAGATTGTAACAGTAATACAATAACTTCAGCTGAAAATAATCTTTTTAAATACACACCTGCTAATCAGCTTTCTGCTGCCACTGTTAAACAGATATAGCTGAACTTCAAAGTTTCCATAGGCTATTTTGACATAACTCCCTCAAATTTTGATTCGCAATATGACCTAGACACAGATTATCTTATTTGGCCATGTTGACATGTTTGATGGAGTCCCAGCTGCTGTATTGGTTTGCAGTTTGGGAGCAGACGGTCTAGGAGGAGGAACCAGGTGTTCCCAGCTTGGTGTGGTCTGTGCGCTGCATGTTGCTGAATTTGAGAGAAATGGGAAGTCTCCTGCAGCCTGCATGGTCTGGACTCAGTTTCTTGCTTTGAAATTTGTGTGTACTCCCAAGCTCCTTGATTCACCTTGCAAAAACAAATTGGCTTGCTGTCAAAATGTTCTGCTGGGTTGTTCTGTATGACCCTTTCTACCAAAAGACCTTTTTGTTTAATGATGTAAATATGCATTACAGTCCCAGAACCAGCCTTGGGCAGCAACTGCGTGGATGGTTGGGGTGGTTACCGGCCGCTGCTTTCTGCTCCCAGTAGCTGGAAATCGGATTAGCAATGATGATATGTTTGGGGATGGGCTTTTCCAAAGGAGTTCAAGTTCATTAACAGTCAGGTTCTGAACTTGGAACTTGAGGAACTTGGGTTTCCTTAAAATCGTCAGCCACAAAGGCTGTAAACTTTGTGATTTGAATGTAAATGCCTTACTTCTGGGAGCCTGGAGCAGATGTCCTGTTTGTCACCTGTTTCCCTTCTGAAGATGCAAGCTAGTGTGTAAACTCTTTCTGGTTGCCTGATTAATACGTAAGTAGAAATTGCAAGAGCTGCATATTTCTTCAGAGGAACGAAACTACTCCTCTAAACTCACCGTGCTCCAAAGTGTTTCGGAGCCTTTCTGCAGCCGTGCTGGACGTGATCCAGCTGGGGCCTGCCCCAGAACAGCAGGTGCAGAGTTGGCTCGGCCCGCGCTCGACTCGGGCCTTCGAAACTTGCTACTGGTGAGCCTTCTTCAGCAAGCTGGAAAGCCTGTGTGCCTCCTGGGGAGCCCACACCTTACCCCTCCCTCTCCCTACCCTTTGCTGCGCAGCAACCGACAAACAGTATTTTCTTCAAAATACCTTCATGCTGTTTTTTTGTTAATAAATGACCTTAAAAATGTTTGGGAGGTTGGGATAAAAAAAAATTGTGTGTGATGTGTTACAGACACATGGAATAAATGTGGCTTGATTTTCAGGTTTTGATAACCCTTAAAAATATTTAATATTAGGTAGATATTTCTATCAATTATTTGTAGCAGGGCCAAACTGGCCAGAGTTGCATGTGTGTGTGCCTGCTGACACTAGTGTTTGCAGGAGTAGAGGATAGGAATGAACCTCCTGGCAGATATCTGAATGTTTCACCTGGGTACTCAACCAGACCCGCTTAAATGTAGCTTAAGGCATACTTTTTTGTTTACCTGCCTCATTTTAACTTGCCCAAGAATAAAAATATGAAATGTGGCTTAATGTCCTGTACCATTAGTCTCGTTATAGAAGAAACACCAAGAGAAATTTGGTCATAAACTTGAAAGCATGTTTGGGTAGAGGACTTCCCAATATTGAGAATGAATTCATTATTAGATAACAATTTCTTTAAAAAAAAAAAATTACATGGAGAAGGAAACAAGCCTTTGTGTCTACAGTGGACTTATTGATCAACAGAGTATATGCAGTAGAACTTGCAATGTGAAATACAAAATTAGAGCAATGAAGTGTTATGCACCATGACATAACACCATGCTAAATACTTTTTCTGGCAATTATCCCCTTTCCGCATCCCCCCATATCCATTAAAATGCTGCTAGTTTACTGTCGTAGTGCCCTGTTTCAAAATGTCAGACAGTCTAATGGCTTTTCATAAACCATAACTAGACCAGTGAGTGACTTTAGACAATTTTATGGGGATAATTTTTGTTTCAAAAGAATTTGATTTAGGTTTTAAAAACAAAAATCCATTACATTTTATCTTGTTAGAGCTGTGGTTATGGTGACTTATAAGGGAATGCAAGTTGAAAAATGTTTTCATGTAAGCATTTTAGCCATAAGGACTGAATTGGATGATAAATGGTTCTACAATTAGAAGAAGAAAAAATGAATTTTGTAAGGAGGTACTGCACAACTTAAGGTCTTATCTGTTGGCAAGTTTTACTGAAAATTTGAAGTAGATTTCTTGGGGATGCTACAAAATGAGGTGACTTTTGTAGTGCTCTCCTTCAGCTGGTGCCACAGGTCACGCGGCTTGGATCCGCTGGGGTGTGCGCGGTCGCCGGGAGTTGCCACGTGCCCGCTTCTCTGGAACTGTGTTACGCAAGCCTTGGGTTTATAGTTCTGACACACAGAAACTATGCCCAAGATCAGAGTGGCTGTTAACTACTACAGGTGACTTGTACACATCAAAAATCAGCATTTCTGATCTGAAGGTATACAGTTACCCAGTCTCAGAAGCTTCCGCTGATACCAGAGGTCGTGGTTCTGCCCAGAACTAAACTCTTCATTTATAATGAACAGCTGTTGAGAAGCCTAAAAATGCAGATTAATTTTGCTCCCTCTTGTAAGAATACAGGGAGAGAGTGTTGTAGCATTGGGAGGAGAGGCTGGGACAACCGATTGGGTGGAAAACATTAATGGTTTTGCTATTGGAATAAAGAAGTAAATCTTGCCTCTGGCTGCCAGGCACAGTCTTTAGTGTGCTCTATCTTTAAAGCTTAGAACTGTTACAGATGTGACTGAACAAACTTGATGGACGAGTGGATAGTGCATCTTTTCCTCTCTGTGGCTTGACTTTTCTCTCAGATGCTGTTGGACCATTTGTCTCCTGTTGGTTTTTTGCTCAAGGTCTGTGGTCTGTGATAATGCATGGCATAATGATGTGGAATAGCAGAGGGAAGCGCTTCAGAAAGGGGGAGGAAGCACACTACTTGTGTACATGCTCTGAAGTATGCCCTTCAAGTGTCTGTGTAGTGAGTAAGAAATGAAAAAATGGATTTTTGTGTGCTACTGGAAGAACACCTTCCAGTTGCAAATTTCTCTTCAGATTTAAGCACTAGTTCTGTGAGAAAGCTCTTAAGTGAACCATCATGTTTGGTTAGCCAAGAGTTTTGTAGCATCCCCTTCCAGTGGATGAATGGCCAAAATAAGGAATTGGTTGCCTTTTTCATGGCTTGTCCCTTTCTTGAAACAAGGGAGTATACAGTCATAAAATACATGATTCAGTCTGGAGATGAATAGGGCTGTGCAAAAAACTTGATGCAGACACTTGAGTCTGGAATATGGGGACAAACTTTGGCTTACAGGACTCCTCATAATTTCAAATTGACAATTCTTAAGTTGGTGCTTTTGCTGAAATGCCACACGTGTAGTTTCTGGGAGCTCGCTGGTGGTGTGGTGGTTCTGCTTCTGGTTTGGATGGTGAGGATTTGAGTCAGGCTTGTGATCTGAAAGGAAACATTGCAGCCTGTAGCTTTGTGGAAGCCAGACGCTACCTTTAGGGTAACACAACATTTAACTGCCAGTTCGAGTTTTAGAAGTTTTTGTTTGCCTTTGTAACATCAGTCTTCTCATAAAGCTGAATTGCAGACTGGCTGAACAAGAACTGATGTGTCTCTTCTTTAACAAAGGCGTTGTTTGCTATTTGCTTTTTTCTGAAGTGTTTTGCATCATCCTGGGTTCTGAGTGCTGACATTTAAATAAGACAATGATACGCAGCACATTCTTTTACCTATGTGGAGGCAAACAAATGGCTCTGGCCTTACACGTAAAGAATTGGATGCTTGCTTCTTACTCTGTTGGTTTTAAATGACGTGGATCATTTGGGGTATTTTGCTGCAGTTCCCTCAAATGAGCTGTGTTGAGTTGCCTGCCTCTCAGCGAGACCCCTCGTACTCCACTGTAGATGGTTGGATCCCTTCTGCATGTGGTTAGCTGTGTAGTGTCTCTGGCTTGCTGCCTGGTTCTTTGCATCATAAAAGAATGTCCCCTACCTATGGTGTCTCCTCTTCCTCAAAAACGTGATGATGCAGAGCACAGATACTCAATAACCAGGCCAATGCAATGTGATAGAAGTGTCAACGCTAATTTTTTTCATTTTTTTCCAAAGGTAGCAGTTATAATGAAAGTTTGTGGAAGGAATAAAGATAGGGAAATAAAAACTTCCCTTGGTGGTGATATAGAAAGTGTAAACCCCATGAAATCTGCTTAGGTTGCAGAGAATGTTGTGGTACGTTTCAGCTGAGCCTTTAGTTGCATCGTTGCGAGTGACAGGATGAACAGCTTGGCTTAAACCTGCCCCGATCAGCAGATCTCTCACACAGACCTCATGGGGAGCTACGCCTGCCGTTGAAACTAGTTCAGGTAGATGCACATGCAATAGAGATCACTCCCTTACACTTCCCAATTCAACTGCAGGTTCCAAGTGATGGCAGCAGGGCCAAGACTTCTCTTACAGTTTCTTTAAAAGAAGGTGCAAGCATCACTCATTGAGTTACTTGCTTGCTCTTGACAAGCCGTAGCAGAGAGTGGATGCAAATTACTGGTCCTTGAAGATGCTGTAACTTCTGTGTGTTAAGGCTCAAAAACAGCTGTGATGAGAAATTTCCTGTGCTGCCTGTACAAAAATCCTTGAATCTTTCCATGCTCTTACATAGAGTTCATATTTACACTCTTTGGGCAGTGTGCCAAGCTGCTATAAAGTGTACATATGTATGACCTCTTCCATTTTTGACTGAAGATCAAGTTCATATTTGAATTGTTTTTTTCTCTTAAGTAGACACTCATCTGACTAATTAATTTGAAACGAAAACACTAGAATCTGTATAGAAGCAGTTTTGCTGAAAGTCAGTGACCACACGCTTGTGTTAGAGGTCCTGTGTCACCTTGCTTCCAGGCTGTGGGTGCAGCTGGAACTTCGTAAGTCACCTGTTCCAGTCATATTAACAGTAGGAAAATGACTTTTCCTATTCAGGCTTCTCTGGCTGGAGTTGTGAATGCTAAATTTCAAACTCAAAAGTACAAGTTAGTAACTTCTGTTTTGCCTTTTAATCATCTGTAAATATGGGGAGACAAACCTAGGCACTCTTCGTACCTGCCCATGTTAATATAAATGTAGAGAGACTTGCACAGCACTTCTGTTTTCCTTAATACTCTGCACTTTCTGCCTGAAAATATTCTGTGTCTTGTATATTTAAACATCTTGGCCACAGGCCTATTAGCAGTACCTTTCAGATGGGCAGTTCTGTATTGCTGTGTGGGGCAGGCCATGCCAGGCTAGCTTTGTGCTTCTCTGCTGCATATCTGAGTGTGAGTAACGTGTGGAATGGATGGTCTTCAGGGTATGAGGACTCTCAAATTCAGCTAAGTGGTTTATATATCAAAAAGTGAAGTACTCTGACAAATATGCTACTGAAATGGGATCAAATTAGGTGAAGTAGCAAATCCAATTAATTTTTTTTTATTGGAGCACTCCAGTGTCTCTCATGAGACATCCATTCTTCTATGTCATATGACAAACTGTCACACTTGTGCTTTCTGTCTGGGTTCCTGGCTTAACTAGATTCAAATAGTTTTCAGCGTAAGGAACACTGATATTTTTGCAAGAAACTTTTCATGTGTCTTTGGAGACAGTGCTCATTTCATGGATAAACTATATTTGTCTTTATATGACCACATTGCTATACAGTGTTCACTGTCTTCAATACTTGTAACAAAGGAAGTGAAAGTCGCATTGAACTTTATCTAATTACTTGTGTTTTTCTATTTTCACATGTTCAGTAACTACTTCTGCAGCTTGTGAGAAATTGGAGAGAGACAGGAATGAACTGCAAGTTGCTTATGAAGGGTTTTTGCAGAAGTTAAACCAGCAACATCACAGTGATCTGGCTGAGCTGGAGGAGAGGCTTAAACAGTTTTACACTACAGAATGTGAGAAACTCCAAAGTATCTGCATTGAAGAAGCTGAAAAGTACAAAGCGCAGCTCCAGGAGCAGGTGTGTAACATTTGAAGGAGAAATGTTCTCTAGCAGTTGGTTTCTGCTACAAATGAGCCTTCAGAAAATCCTGGGGTTTGCTTCCAATGGAGTTACTTTACCTAATGTGAAACTCCACTTCACTGCAGCTATAAAAATACTACAGCACTAAGATATCCAGATCCTAAGCTTGTGTTTTAAATGTGGTAGAGATTCCTTGTGTTCTGCAAACTTCAATAACTTGTACATCTCCACTGGATATTTCAGGCACCTTGAGTTTTAAAATTTATGGAGACACACCTGGCGTGTGACCTTGCTTTGCAGCAGCTCCATGTGTGCAACATGCATATATTGTCCTGCTGATAGTGGTAAACTGCAAGGCATCGTTCTCATCTCCTAAGTGTTGTATGTGGCTCAGCTTTTCTTGTGATCAGCTGTTAAGTTACTGGCTACACCATTTAAAACTTACTCAGTATGCTACAGAAAGCCATTGCAACAAGGGTTGACACATGTAAGGGGGAGAAAAATAATGTTGTCATATTGCAGGTGGACAACTTAAATATCACACATGAAAACTTTAAGCTGGAACTTGAAAACAGCCACTCAGAAAAAGTAGAGGAGCTGAAAAAAGAGTATGAATCCTCTTTTTCAGGCAAGTATTTTGTATTCAGGTACCTATGCCATAATACTGCTAGTCACAAACAAAAATATTCAAGCTTTTTCATCAGTATGTCCTTCATTATTTGGTGGCCAGTTATCTTTAAGATGCTGGCTGAATTCCTTCTTTCAGAACTGAAGAAGTCTCATTTGGCATACAGAAACAACTATGACCCCATTGTAGTCAAACAAAACTTTTAAAACAGCCTAAGAGTGAAGATGACTTCTTTCAGTAGATGATGTCTGAATTGCAGTCTGCCCTTAAAATCTCAGGTTAATGAGTAATTGCTCCCATCCACCCCCAGTTCTATAAGGAACATGTCAAAGTTGAAATTGAGGATAAGTAGGGTTGTGTGACTTCCAGACTGACTGGGGATGTTGAGAAATATTGTACAGTGCTTACAGTATACTGGGGCAAAGCTTGTTTTTCAGGGAGGGGGTGGTGAGCATACTCAGTTTTAAATGGCATTGCAGCTAATTGATTTAAGTGATGATAATTTTCATCCTCCCTCCTACTTCACTTGATAGCCAAATTTCCAGTGATGCTCTTGCATCATAAAACTGGTGATGCTTCCCCTGCAAAGAGCAAACTCCTCTGTATGGCATCTTCAGAGCAGGAAAGGAAATGTTTTTCTAGAAGTTTTTGAAAGGCGCAGTGTCAGGTTCTGCTGTGTTTCCCATCAGAAACTCAGCTTTAGTCAGCTGCAGCTCTTGTGCTCAGTTCATCCCTTTGTTGCATGTAGATGACATGCTGCCAGTTAATGAAATGGATATGCAAAGGGGCAGTCAACACATCTAAAGCAGCAATAAATCTGATACTTTGTACATGCTTTGGATGCACTGAAGATCAGTGTTCTCACCCTGCTGTCACTGCTTCCACATCTGTGTGTACGTGTGTTTGCTGCCTCGTTGTACTGCTGCTTCTAAAAAACGTTCCTGTGTTACGCGGTATTAAAAATCTGCAAAAATAATTTGTTGCAGAGCTGAAGAGTGCCCATGAGTCTGAAAAGAAGTTGCTTGAGGAGTCCTTTAAAGAGAAGCAGGAATTGCTAGAGGTTTGTTGAGAGCTGGGGTAGTTGCAAGGGTCTAAAATTTAAAAGGCAGTTTGGAGACGGGCACTGAATTCTCAACCTAACTATACAATGTCTTTTCATTTCAGAAAAGAATCGAAGAGTTAAAATGTGAAAATGACTCACTGACTGAGAAGTTGAAATTAGAAGAGCAAAAACAAATAGCCAAAGAAAAAGCCATTCTTGTAAGTCTTCATCTTCCAAAGTAACACAGATGAGCAGATCTTGTAAGCCTGGTTTTATTGTGCAAGATGAAGCCCGGTAGGGCTCATGTACTTATTAATATTTTATGTAAAGGGCTTGCCTGTCAGGTTTTCTCAAGCACTACAGCACTGTGTACCAACCTTACCATTGTGCATCTATAAAGCTGCTGAGTATCTGTCAGTGATGCAAGTCACAGCCCAAGGTAAATTGAATGCCTGCATGTGCACAGAGTTGGACCGTGGCTTTCCGCTGGGCTGTCGATCGGTGTCCAAGTGGCGTTGCGATCAGTGTGGGCTCACATCACTGCTACACAACTCCTTCCTTCTACCTGAGTCTTTAATACATCTACTCAAACATTGATTCAGACTTGTTGGTGACTTCAGATGATACAATTCTGTTTTGTCCTGCCTTTCTTCCCAAGGCTGCTGTTACCTGTGACCCTCCTGGGTTAGAAATGTGCTCTGAGAGGAGATTTCTTGTGCACTGGGAGGGTTAGACACAGATATGCTTATTTTGCTAGTTACCTGGAAATAACTGGAATACCAGTGTTATTGCATATCCCAGGAAAAGAAAGAAATACCACACTTAAAAACTCACTTAGGAAGCTTCCAGTAGAAGCTGCCCCAGTTTTCACTGGAATGTAATCTTCCCCCCTCCCCCCTTCCTTACTGCTTATTCTAGTGGCAGGACAGAACTGCTGCAAGAAGAGTCTGCAACCACAGTATGTTGGGGTGGTTGGGAGAGGTGATACAGAGAGAACACACTGCACTTGGGGGTTTGAACTGTATGCCATAGGCATGCTCAGATGATGTTTAATTGAGAGGAGCAATAGCAGAGTGCCTTTAGGTAGCTGCACTATGTAGAAAATACACTTTGCATCCTGACCCCATAAGACACATAAGCTTGAGGCTTCTCTATGGAAAAATACTGATTTGACTCCATATATTCTTCTGTACTATCAGAATTCCCATGAGCCCTTTGAAGACAGAGGTGTATTTCCAAATGTCCAGTATTATTCAGATAATGTCACTTGATATTCCCAGCTTTTTTTCTAAAATCTTACACAGGCCTTTCAGTCTTTTTATCTGGCTCTGTGGTAGCTCAGATTTAACTTCAAAAGGATGTTTTAAAACCATTGGGGCAGAGGAGAGAAAGGGGGGAAAAAAAAAAGTATGTTTTAAAATATTGTAAACTGCATTTAAACATTTCAGGATGGCATTTCTCCCTAGCTCCTGGATTCCATGTAAAGCCATAAAAGGAACAAAGTTCACATTTTTCTGCCGCCTCCTCAGAGGCAGCACAGAGCACCTCTCACATGGACATCTGTTCAGAAGTAGAGATTAAACAAGAATCACTGATGCCACAGTCCTTAAAATCATGCAGGAGTATGAGATGAGTAGGTGATGTTGGAGCTTGTCACCTGAGAAGTGTACTGGCTGTGTCCTTGTGGAACTGGCCCCAGGCCCTCCCGAGCCTGAAGGTTCTGGTGTGGCAGTGAAGCAGCGTGCCAGTGTTCCTACCCAAACACACCAAAACAAGTTCTGTTTGGTTTTGAAGATAAACTGAGTTATGCAACACACTTAATCATCCACTGATTTCTGTTTATGTTCCACTCAGACTACCTGGAAAGGGACTGAGACTGACTTTATTTCTCCTTATTTTTGCCTGTACTTTGCCTTTCAAATGTAGAGAATGTTTTTTTGTGCAGTATTTGAATGGTTCGTTATTCTGGAAAAGAGGTCCTTGAGGAAACCAGATGTGACCCTGCCCTGTGCCCCCCTCCTGCTTTCCCATCTACCTCCCCAAAAGCAACAACAACAACAAAACAACCAACCAACCAAACAAACAAACAAAAAAGTCCTAACTGGCCGTGTTGTAGATAAGTCATGGATGTGAAGCAGTGCAGGATTTCCATGTTGCAGGTGCATTGCTAGGCTTTAAGAAGTATGTGAACCCCAGAATTTTCAATTTCTGTTCATGACCCAGCTACCTTCAGACTCAAAACAGGGAAAATAACTCCAGTCAAGTTCATAGCTTTAGATTAGGCCAGTCAGTCTCACCTCTGTG